TGGGATCTTCCCAGACCAGGGATCGAACCCGTGTCCCCTGCATTGGCAGGTGGATTCTTAACCTCTGTGCCACCAGGGAAGTCCCAGGGCTCCTAAATCTTGTAGGTGAGGAGAGTAACGGCCTCATTTCAACAATTCAGATGATGATCAAGGCCTGAATAGTGGAGGCAGAGCGGGTGAGCTAGCATCTGAGTGATGTAAAATTGAAGTACAATAGATAGGATATGTAACCACATGGATATTGGGGATGAGGGTCGAGGTGGCATTAAAGATGACTTTAAGGTTTCTAGACTGTTTAATGGGATGGCAGTGTCTTTGAGCAAGATAGAGGCTGTCAGTTACAGGAGGAGGAGTTCGGCAGAAAATAGAATAATTATCAAGACATCTGAAAACAGTTTCATTCTCCTGTAAGTATAGGATGATAGGTTCTACTTTTGTGTAATGGATAGTTTCACATCTCAGAATGCAAAATGTGGATGCAACTAGTCTGAAAAATTGCTACTCTGAGCTTACTCTGAGTAAAGTAGAAGAAAGGGGACACTTTGGTGAAAGAGACCATGCTGTTTCAGACTTCATCACAGCCTGGGTTTAGCTAGAAATATGGCCTTGCTTTGGGGGAGATTTCAAAAAGTGCAGAGAAAAGAGGATGCCTCAGTGCTGGGGGCCCTAATGGGAGGCTAGTGCCCTGTCTCTGTTTAGAGGAGTCTAGGGGAGGACCAGCCTCTCAGGTAACCTGGCACTGAGACAAGGGAGTAGGGAGCTTGACTGGGTTGGTTAGGACCGAGGTTCTTGGAAGGAAGAGGTTCAAGCAAGTCCAGCAGAAGCTACAACACAACACTGGGATAGAGTCAGAGGAGCTCATGCCAGGCTGGAAAGAGATGAACAGAGATGGAGATGTGCTTTGGAGTTCCAGGCCGTGTGTGGCTCTACATACCATGGGGTGAAGGCTCAGGTAAGAGGGCAGGGCAGTGGGCTCAGCAGGGGCAAGAGGCCCACAAAAGGTGTTCCGACAGTAGGTTGAAAATTTGTCCAAGTAGGAAGAAAATAATGGGTATCAAAAGAAAAAATGCACTACATAGGGCATCAACTCTTCAGTGAGTTCTTTGCAAGGAGATTGATCATGGGACTTCCCTGGTGGTCCAGTGGTTAAGACTCCACACTTCCACTGAAGGGGGCAATGGTTCGATCCCTGGTTGGGGAACTAAGATCCCTCATGCCAAGTGGCACGGCCAAAAAAAAGAAAAAGGAAAAAGAAAAGAAATTGATCCAATATGGGACAAAAATAAAGGAGAGAAAAGACAGGCAAAGGACTCTTAGAAGAGTGTTCTGTTGGCTGAGGAAATGAGTAAAAAACATCAGATGACATTATAATAAAACGATGGGCTTTTTAGGAATGTTTCGAGAATGAAAAGGAAATGGTGTGGGCCTACCCGTTAGGGACAGGAGGAGATAATGATGAGCGTTGAAAACCAAAGACCTGGCTGATTGTTGTAGCAGAGTGGATACGGAGAGAATGTTGGAGAGCTCACAGCACCACAGGGGATGTTGGGGAATTAATCAGGCTCAGAAAATGGGTGGCAACTGGGGCCACGGCCAAAATGATGCCACAAAACTAGTCTGGGGAGGTGTTGGCTATTGAGGCTGTTAAACACCGGATGCCACCACCCATTTGGCCGTCTGCACTGGGACTTGGGTGCTGCCCACAGCTGTAAGGGATGGCAGGTTGAGTATCTGACGGAGGTTAGCTACCCTACCTTGCTCCAGCTGCACAGAAACTGGAGGAGCCAGGATTCGGCATGCTCAACGTCTACGATGGGAAGTGAACTCTGCATCCTTCAAGGTGGGGCTTTCTCAACTAGTGGAGGGGGCATCACACCAAATTAAAGACTCGTTTCAGGTTGTAGCAAGGAGACTAATGACAGCATGACCAGTCAAGGAACTGCAGTTGTTTCAGAGGAAAATGAAGAAGGCGCGGGCCCCGTCAGTGGCGGTGGGAATGGAGAAGAGGGTACAGACTGTAGTGAGAGTACAACAGCAGAGTGAATAGAGTTTAATGACTACTTAGATGCAGAGGCGGAGAGGAGAATATCTAAAATGCCTTTGAATGCCTATGGCTTCATGAATTGGATGAGTGGCAGTGCCATTAACCAGGCTAAGTCATCCAGGAGGAGGGGTATGTTTTGGGAAAATGACAGGTCAGTCATTTTTGACAGGCTGAGTTTGAAGCGTCCAAGAGACGCACAGCCAGGGAGAGACAATGGACACATTTGGGTGCCATGTTCCCAGACAGTAACTATGCAGTGGGGTGCTGGTAAATGACTAGCAACAGGCTTTCCGGAGAAAAGAAATTCTGATTTGTAGCATTTCTCAATTCTGTGGTGTAAATACAACCACTATGGCCCATTTCTAGGTATCAATACAAGGTTACTAAGAGTGGATTTGGGGGACTTCCCTGGTGGCACAGTGGTTAAGACTGTGCTCTCAATGCAGGGGGCCCAGGTTCCATCCCTGGTTGGGGAACTAGACCCCACATGCATGCTGCAGCTAAGGAGCCCACGTGCCTCAACTAAGGAGCCCGCCTGCTGCAACTAAGACCTGGCGCAACCAAATAAATAAATGTTAAAATAAATAAATAAAACATTAAAGTTAAAAATGAAAACATTAAAAAAAAAAAAGAGTGGATTTGGGAAGAGATGCACACAATCAGTTGTCAAGAGGCCACCTGGGGGGCCACTATGGTGACTATGGGTGAGGCTAAGGTCTCCCAGACAGGGCAGAACCCGGAGAACAGAATCTTCAGGGACGGACTGAAGAAGAGGGGCTGCCGGAAGGAATCTAAGAGAGAATGGGCAAGTCAAGATCAAGCCCCGATCTGGGCCCTGTCAAGCTCTCCAGAGGTAGCTTCCACCACTCATTCATTTTAAGAAAATCTGCTAGACTGTAAGCTATTTGAGGGAAAAGACTTTGTCTACTTCAGCTGTGTCCTCTAGGTTTGGAACACAGTAAGCGCTCAATTAATTCCACTAATATCTTAGGGAAGAATTATGTCCACCAGTTTCATGAGGCAACACAAGAAAAACTGAATTGTGTTACAAGGAGACATTTTGGCTCAATGTAAGAAACACTTCCTAGCAAGTCTTGCAGACGTAGACACCTTGTTTGGTCTGCCCCATACCACTCCCATTCTTCTGGGAACTGTCACTCTACCTTTCAACTCTGAGGTTCTCAAGACAGTCACTATTTTCTAAGTGAATCTACCGATTAGTCTAGGTGTCGGCACCTGACACAGCTGGGATTTTTGGAATCAGGACTTGGAGTAAGTCCCTTTCTTGTGGCAGAAACTGGGAGAAGAGGTGACAGAAGAGGTGTCAGCATCCAGGGTTTTCCTGCCATATATAAAGCTAGTTTCAGGGGTTCCCTGGCGGTCCAGTGGTCAGCACTCTGCGCTTCCACTACGGAGGGCAAAGGTTTGATCCCTGGTCAGGGAAGTAAGATCCCGCAAGCCGAACAGCGCAGCCAAAAAGAAAAACAAAAAACAAAAAACCAAAGCTAGTCTCTGCGAAACACAGGCAGGGAGAATCCCAGCAGCAATGCCTCAGTTCTATTCACTCATTCTTAGGTCCAGCTAGTTTTCTGTCCCTTTCTCTTATTACAGGACATAGCCCCATAGCCCTCTCATAAATGTCCCGTGCCTTAGAAGCTGGATTCGGGTACCCTGCAACCAAGGGTCCCAATGAATACCCAAGCAGAACTCTCCAAACGTGTAACGCCACCTGTGTGAAAAGTGCTGTGCTCTTCACCGCTCAAGTATTCATGCAGTTTGAATGGCCACTTGAAAAGGGTTTAAAGGAGCGGATTTCTGCCGAGGGTGGAAGCCCTAAAGTAACGGTGATGGCAGCAGCCACCTCTCCGTGAGCACTTGCTCTGTGTGGTGGCAAAGTGGGGAAGCTGGGCTCGATCAGGTTTGAATTCGAAGTTCTTAATTACTAAGCTAGAGGTTCTCAAACTTTTTAGTCTCAGGATCCCTTTATGATCTTAAAAGTTGAAGACCCCAAAGAGATTTGGTGTGGGTTATATCTATTTACTACAGTGGAAATCTTACCGAGAAATTTAAAAGATTTTAAAAGAACAAAAACCCATCACATGTTAACGTAAATATCTTTATTAAAAGTAACTAGTTTTCAAAACAAAAAATTAGAAGAGTGGCATTGTTTTACATTTTTGCAAATCTCTTTTATATCCGACTTAGTAGAAGACAGCTGGATTCTCACCTCTGCTTCTTCACTCAATATGTTGCTTTGGTTGAAGGATATAAAGAAAAGCTGGCCTCGTACAGTCATGCAGTCGGAAGAGGAACTTTGTGAACCTGCTGAAAGGGTTTCTGGAACCCTCGGAAGTCCTCAGCCTATACTTTGAGAACCACTGCAGTAAACTAACCTGCCTCTCAGTTAAAGACTATATAGCCATTGAATTAGTATTAGACCTGGCAGTTCTTTCCATGGCCAAGGCATTTTAAACAAATTGCAAAGGGTGGTGGTGGGGAAGGAAACTTGAATTCTCCTGTTAACTCAATTTTAAATGACATCGATTTCCAACTTGAGTTCACAGATTACTCCTTTGGCAGCCAAGATTACTTATTAGATTTCTTCAAGTTTACTTTTCTAAACTAAGAAGAGAAAGCAACATGTCATACACAAAGTTAACATTTGTATAGTGTTCTTAACAGTTCACAAAGCCTCTTCCTGTGCCCACATGACGCCATTTAGTCCTCAGCAGCCACTTTACAGAAGAAGAGCTCGGAGCAGAGAGGCAACTTGCCCAACACTGCCATCAGTAGCCGGGCTGTGGACCAGGCTTCCTCATGACCAAGAGACATGCTCGCAGGACAACTCTGCTCTGGCTCTAACGAACAAACACCTCACTTTCAAAAGCTGGCTTTCCAACCTAGAAAGAGGGGTCCTTTTATGTTCACTTTTTTCACATACACAAGAGGCGGCATCTGTTCTAGAATCCAACTGGATTTTATTTGACACAGAATACAATATGGGTGCAGGAATAGCAAACTGAAAAGACAAAGCAGAAAAAACACAGTTCTATCTAATTTATAATTAAGTAACAGGAGGGCAAGTCATTAAGTGGCTAATCATACAGTTGAGCTTGATGGAACAATTCTCTTTTTCTAGTGCCCATACCTGAAAGACAAGGTAAATTATTTAATTAATTCCTTAGTAATTTCCTGTTTGAGACTATAAAACCTGCTTAAATATATCCACAAACTTGGTTAAAACTTTGAAAAGAAGTAAGTGACCACAAGTGTGTGCCAAGACCGGGTTACGACCCCGGTCTCTGCCCCTTTCATCTTACCGGCCCCTATAACATCTTACTTATCACCCCCTTCTTATGACGGTCCCGCCTCACCACGGACTCAGCTGCACCCACCTGACTCCTTCCAGCTACCAGGCAGACACCAGGCAGTAACAGGGAGGCGAGAGGGAGAAGTCAGAGCCGGTGCTTGTGAAAGGGAGCTCCACCTGTTTGCCCCAGGCAGTGGCTCAGACAGCATGAACTCTTGGCCTCCCCTACCTGTGGTGGCCTCTTCACCTCAACTCCAGTCCTCAGGTAAGTTTAGGGTAAGGCAAATACAGAAACCAGTAACTGAACAGCCTTCAATTTCAAAATCTATCACTAGTTCCAATTATAGCCCTGAGTCCACTCAGCAGTGCAGAAAGAGAACTGTGGAGAGAAACTAGGTATGGATCTCAGGTCCTTTCTGATTTCCCCAGAAGCCAAAAGTTGGCTCTAGCAAGATTATAAACAAGGGCAGGAAATTTCTTCCACATATAAATGGATTTCTTTTCTTCTTTTTTAAAAAATATTTATTTATTTATTTATTCACTAGTCTGCAGCAGGTCTTAGTTGCGGCACACAGGGTCTTCATTGCTGCGTGTGGAATCTTTACCTGTGGCACGCAAACTCTTAGTTGCGGCATGTGGGATCTAGTTCCCTGACCAGGGATCAAACCCAGGCCCCCTGCATTGGGAGCGTGGAGTCTTAGCCACTGGACCGCCAGACAAGTCCCTAAATGAATTTTGTGAACACAAAATCCTTCATTATTATCTTACTTAATAATCTTTTGTCGTGGTTCTTTGTGGGCAGTTCACCTCTGATTAAAATACTTTGTTATATGAATGGAAACCAGGGCACTAGAACTCTGCATCACTGCTTCCATCATCCTGAAGGGGTACTAGATTCTTTAAGCACTTCACGTAAGAAATTCACTTAAATATTGTCTAAAAAAGTCCTCATAGGGTAGAGCTCCAGTGTGTGTTAGGGGGCTGGAGAATAACCCGGAAGTTGTCCATCAGATTTAAGCATGCTGCAATTTGCTTCTTATGAATTTGTTTTCCCAGTGCACTGATAACCATGGCCAGGCAAAGTCACCAGCTGGATACAGTGACAGTGTCAAAGCCCAACAGGAGGGTTCTTTACACCCCCCACTTCTTAGGCTCAGCCCCAGGCACATGTAATGGGCTACATGAGACAGTTTTGGTCCAAGACAGAACCTGGAGCCTGCTCCAGGGCAGAGCCAATTACAAAGGCCTCTTGAGAACTTAGAACAGTGCTTCTGCCTTGACATGTATTACTTGTCATGTCATGGCTCCACTCAGAATGCAAGCTCCCCAAGGACAGGGAAGGACTGTCTCACACATTTTTATACCTTACACATTACTTAGCATATACTTTGCTGAAAGGAATGTGACGGTATGAAGACATTGAGTTATTTGGCAGGTTTCTTAAAAAATGAACATGCATTTCACTTTCAAAATTCTTTACCAAAATAAATAAGTCTAAAAACAAAATAACTGTACCAATAAGTGATTTGTAAACATTTCACAAACTAAAGAACCCTATTTATTGGTTTTTAAACATAAGAATATTCTGCTAGCCAAAACTCATATTTAAGTAAAAATCTCCCTTTTCATTAAAAATTTGATCAAGAAAATGACTGAAAATTCAACAGATAAAAGAGCGTTTCGCACAAAAATATAATAGGCATAAAAATATATAAAAAGTAGCCCAATTTCACTGAAAATTTTAAAAAATGCAATTGAATACTAATTTTCACCTGTCAGTAGCTAAGATGGAAAAGTTTGATAACAGAACATTGGCAAGAAATGGAGAATGGGGCCTCCTGCTTCACTGTTTGTAGGGACTGTGAATTAGCACATATTCTTGGGAAAGGAAAATCTGACACTATCAAAAATAAAAACATACATACTCTTTAATCAGAAATTTCTCTTTTAGGAATTACTACTACAGATATAAAAAATTCTACATGTATATCCAAATACATTCAAGTACATATACGGGGACACTCGGGAAAGCCACTAAGAAGCTGTTGCTGACGGCCACCTCCAGGAAAGAGATGAGGAGAACAAGGTGAGACTCATCTTTTGTGGTAAACCCTTTGACCACTTGAATTTCTGAAAATTTACATGTCATGTTTTATTTACATACTACTAACAGCCACAACAATAATGATTTAGTTGAGATAGCCATAAACGCTGTATCAGAATTAATCAGCATGAGATAAAACCAATGAAACATGATAGGTGGATATAATTCTAGCCCAAAGCAAAGACACCTGACATTAGTTAGCCTCTGGAGCCTTATTACTGATGTGATTTTGGAAATATTTAATAGTTTGCAAATTCTCATATTTTCTACTTTCATAGAACCTGGATAGTTGGGAAACTCTAGGCTGCAAGCTTCTAACGTGGATTCACCTATGCATTTTCCACATAGATGAGTCCTTGTCTAACTAACCAAAAGCTAGTTTATGAAAACAAGGCATGTTCCATGTCTCCATTTTCTAAGACTGTGCACCCTCCAGCTTGACGTGAGTCCAAGAATGATACTGACCACAAAGCCCAACCTTAAAACGTCAAAGCATCCAGAGACACCTACTTTTGGAATTCCCACTCTCTGTTGTCCAACGGACACACCTGCCGTGTTTTGAGCCAGCGGGAGATGCAGTGGAAGTGAAAAGCATGCTGGAAGAAAAGATACATTTTATTAAAAATAATCCTGTGAAGGCTCAGCTCTCTGATGACAATACACCTCAAGTGCAGTGGGGTAGTTACACACAGGGGCTGGAGAAGAGTGATGGAAGGCAATACACAACGGGAGACAAAAGGTCAACAACGGGTTACACCTTGGTTAGGTATGAGGCTAAGTCCAGTGAAACATGTCAGAAACATCATTCCTACAAAGGGAAGAGTGCATTTAGGAAGCACAGCAGTGTTCTAGCAGTGAGCTCTCTTTCCCTAAGGGAAGATGGAGTGGGGCTTCCTGGTCCTATGCGGCCTGTAGGGGGGGCTTACTCTACTGGGGCTCACGCAGGGAGGCCCTTGATCACACGTGGATTTCAAACATTCCCCCTTCTTGGTCCCCAGCTGCCCTCCCCACCTTGGAGAAGGGAACCCCAGGAGCAGAGGCATCTACTCAGTGTGGGTAGTGTGCCATCCCTGACATCACCCAGAGCTGAGAGGGGCACTTCCCCGACCTTCCACACGCAGCTCAACTCTTTCCAAAGGACTTTATTTCCCCATTTGTTTATAGGTGTATTGATATGACAACAGCCTGGTACTCAGTGAGCCTTTAGTGGGTGAGAGACTGTGTCTTAAAAAGGAATGAGATAAAAACTTAGGGTAAAAGGAAGTATTACGATGGGCACACTGCACGCAAACAGCTGAAAGAGCATCGAAGGGCTTATTCCATGATCAAGACAGGAAGTAAAAGGGCAAAAGTACCAAGACTACTGGGAACTGACAGGGAGCGAGGAGTTGGCCTTCGGATATGGGGAGAAGGAAAGTCCGTGTGCAGCTTTTTGGTATGCATTAATGACGTGCAGACGCTAACCACAGCACCTCTGCAATGGATGTTTATCCTCTGCCCCTGCTCGTGTGAGCAGCGAACTCGGATGGAACAAGAGTCCCCTCACCTGAGCCATGATGGGTCGGCTGAGTGGGGACAGGGGAGAAGTGCTGACGCCCCAACACACCATGAAAGCTTTGGCAGGCTTGGCTTAATAACAGCCCTGAACTCTGGTCAGCGTGTCCCCCCAAACATACATGGAACTTAAGAATCACAATGTGGATTATCATCTGTGAATTGTCTTTGCACAAAGACAGAAAGAGAATTCAGTGACAAACACTAGAGTCCACGGCTGGTACACTGGGGCTACTCAACAGGACAAACACTCTCCCAGAGCAGTGGCCCTCTGCAAGATCCCTTTCCTCCTGACGCTCACACAACTCATTATTTCTGAAAAAGAGAAAAAACAAGATTTCCAAAAGGCAGCAAGCGGAGGCATTTTTCTCAATCCCCAGGCGGTGGGGACAGGCTCACCTAAGGGCGTTCAGGACACCCTTCTCCACCTCCCAGCTGCCCCGTTAGGCACCCTGCAGCAGTACAGGGTCCTGTACTCCCCAGCCACCTCCGAAGACAGACGGAGAGACAGGCTGCAAATGAGGCTGCAGGGCTGGTGACAGCATCCCTGAGCGCCCCTGTCCCCAGCTTTCTTCCTGTTAACCATCTAAGACAAACTGGTGAGTACACTGAGCAGTCCCAAAATACACTGCCTGGTGCTTCACGCTTTGCAAGCAGTCTGTAAACATCTATTACCTCACTGGAGCCTCCAGCAACCCAGGCAAGCAAGCATGACGGCTATTACTATCTTCATTTTACAGACAGGAAACTGTCTGTATAACCAGAAGAGTTAAGTGACTTGCCTAATTCATAGAGCAGGTTAGTAGAAGACCCAGCACTAGAACCTGGGACTAGTCCAAAGGTTTCAGGCACACCTGCTGGCTCTTCTTGGTGGCAGGCTCTCTGAGCTCGACTCTCCTGAGCTGAATTTAAGGAGAAGCTCACTCCTTTTCCTTCCACCACAAAGTGACAAGGTTCTTAGTATACGCCTGGATGCCAGGGAGAGCAAAGAGCCCGATAAGCTTTATTCTTTATCCCCATAAATAATAAACACTGTCCCTTGGCCAGAGGCTACTGTGAAACTGTCGAAGGGCCCCGACAGCATGGAGAAGGTGCCCCACAAGGTGTAGGCTGGGAGGAGAGCCTCAACCCGAGGGAGAAAAGTACTGATAGCTCTCTCTTCAGGAACTACAGCCACCCCAAATTTTATTTATTTATATTTATTAACAAAGACGCTTACTGCATGCAGGAGGTGTTCCAAGCAGTTTTTTTTTTTTTTTTTTGAGTAGAGAAAGGTTTACTGCAGGGGCATGCAAGGAGATGGGAGGCTCATGTCCCAAAAAAACCCCAACTCCTCTAAGCACTTTTTAACATAAAATCACTTCATCGTGATTGTGACACTATGCAATCTACTAACAGCTCCATTTCATACGATGCTTAGAGAGGCCAATACCTTGCCCAAAGTCACCTAGCAAGTCCCAGAGACAGGGAATGATGGTCTGACTCCAGAGCCTGACTTCTTAGGCCTGTGTCATGCTGGGAGCCCTCTGTTCCCTGGGCACAGGACGCCCAGACAGGACAATTTTAGCTCCTATGACGGGGACTACATGTCTATAAGGATGAATTTTTAACACGTGCTGGAAATAACATATTCGATGTCTATTATCCTTCACAGCTGTCACTCCCTGGAAGGCCGTACATTCAGTCCAGGGATGCTGTACAAAACATTTCTGGCATGAGCCACATTAAAAAAAAACCCAAATCCTAACTTAGTACATTTGCCACACCTAAAACACACACACACACACACACACACACAGACACTCAATTTATTCACCTTAGTTCCACAAGACACCTAGCCTTTTAAAAATGTGTTACGAAAGTAAAGATTTCCACTAACAGAATATTCCAAAGACTGTACCACAGGCTTTGAAGGCAATTCCCAAAGATGAATCCCCAAAATGTTGCTGACAAAAGTTGGTACACTTTATAAGTAAGACAAACTACTGTCTCTGCAATAACTAATAATTTTTACCCTATAACAGGTGAACAGTACAATGCTTTTAAATCTTTTTTTTTTTTTTTAATATTTGTGTACCTTTTGGGAGAAAAGTGGGCTAGTCATTTTTTTCCTAGTTAGTTTCAAGACTGGCAAAGCAGGAAAAGTGGTACTATGTTTACAAGCCATGCTGATAGGGAAAGATGTTTCCTTACGTTACAGACTCCCCACGCAACGGTGCACTCTTCAGAAGTAGCAGACGCCTGGTTGGCTTGACACTCTATGCCTGTGGGAACAAGAGCAGACAGCACTGGACCCCGGCAACAACCTTTTCACCTACAGCTGCCCTACCTGCACGATGACACGATGACACGACTGGGGGTGGGGGTGGGGGGTTGGTGGTGATGGCATAAACATGAACAAAATCTCAAGTGGTTAATTAGTCATAATTGTTTTTTAATGTATGTGGAAAGGGGTGAAGAATAGAGAAGGCAGAGATATGACTTAACAGCATGCTTTGCAATGAATCCTTCCCCTTGTTCAAAAACAGAGTAACGAAGGAAAGAGTACTTTTTAACTCTGAACATAACCTGACTTGTCCAAATGACAGTGATTCCTCCTAATCTGGTAAATTTAGTAAATTCTTAAAGCCACCTCATAACTCTTACTGTTCTGAGAACTGGCATCTCTATTCTTGGTGAATGCTTCCTCTCAGGCCCTTACAACACCCAGGTTTGCCACATGAAAGCCTAGCTGGGGGACAAGCTCTAGTCCCTAAAGGAGTCAGGCAGACATATGGAGCTGGGAGAGAGCAAGTAAAAGGGGGTGAAGAGGCCTGTGGCGAAGTGCAGTGTACGCTCTGCATGAGGACGTCAAATCTCAAGTCCTTAAAACACCGTCAACACAGCAGATCTGTGAGGCCAACGGGTTAGAGGAGATTCAGGGGTACCACTTAAGCGACACTTATTGCCCCTGAGGTGATTCTCACCAGTGAATGGAGCAAATTGCTGCAAATGTATCCGAATATCAATTTCATAGAAGGGGAAGGGAGGGAACTTAAATAGAAAAAAAAATCTGACTGAGATCCAGAAAGGATGAGTAAAGCTCTATTAGGGATAAATATTCAACGAACAAGAATTACTAATGTGTAATTTGCTTTCTCTGAAGGTGGTAACTAAATGGAGTCTCCCTTCTGAAGAACAAAAAGCTTCAGGAAAGACTATTTAATGAGACAATTACTTCAAACTTCCACAGGCGGAAAATACTAAAATTGTATGAAAGTAATGCTGAGATGTTAATGCATACATTTGGTCTTAGGGGAAGAGATATACCAGAATGTTCTTTCCCCCACCCTTCAAAAATATGAAAGGCAAAGGATCTGAAATCACAGAAGTTGCTTATGCTACCCAGATTCACACTACAAAGAGAATAACTGGTTTTCCTTCTGATAAAAGTGGAGAATCTAGGGCCTATGCCATATATTCAAGAATGTATGGGGGCTGTGAATGCACCCTATTCAGAGAGATGGCAGAGAAGATAAAATCTGATGTCCTTCAAGTTGGATCATCTCACTTAGATGAGGACTATGTATTAAGAAATTAGCTAAGCAAGAGGCACAATTATTATTATTTAAGTAAATAATGAAACTGTTTCAAGGTACATTATCATGTTTAAATTTTTCTAGGTCTGCGTATTTTTAAGGGGCTGTCGTTCTATGCCTAGTGCAAAGTAGGCTTTCAGTATCTGAATAAGCAAACAAAAAACACTTCTATAAATAGAGAGAATGGGGGCCAAATATACATTTATTCTTATCAGAAAACTCCTAACAAAGAACAAAAATATATTGTACAGCACAGGGAATATAGGAAATATTTTATAACAACTTTAAAGGGAGTATAATCTATAAAAGCATTCAATCACTATGTTGTACACCTGAAATTAATATAATATTGTAAATCAACTATACTTTAATAATAATAAGAAAAGATCAGAAATAGGATTGCAATACAGAACGTCAGATAAAAGGGGATAAGGCATGAAAAATTACTAAATACAAGTGTAAAATGTTCTCAAAGATAAAATGTTTTCAAGCTTTTGGTCCAGAGGCTGAGCACTGGGGTTTAGTCATTTGTTTAAACAGGGGAAGGAATTGTTCTCTGTCAGCCTAGAACAGACAGAAAGGCAGCACACAACAGGTGTGCAAAGGCAGAAGTTGATTTCATGTGACTTATAAAGCTTGAGGACTTTTATATTTCAATACAAGAGCATTACAACCAGAGGACTGCTAAGGAAGCAATGGCTGCTTCTTGGAAGTGAAGAGATTTCACACTTTGAAAATATTGATGGACCTGTGGTTTTAGGAAAAGACTAACTTAGGGGCAGAGGCTGGGTCTAAGCACTTCTGGATGCCCCCTTCATCTGGAACAAGATTACCTGAGGCAATGGAGAAAATTACACCTAGCAGATGGTGTTCTCTAAAAGAACCAAGAAATAGGGCAATGCAAAATAAGTATGAAGCTATAGTAGGACAGGTAGTAACAATTTGGATTCCAAAGAGGAAGTCTTTAGATCAAGAATGCTTTGTAGGTGAGTTCAACTGGAGCACAGCCATAATCACTCGTTTATTTACGGCTCTGTATACAATTATTCATTTAATGCCAGACCAGAATTTATTAGAAAATGGCCATTGCTAGATCAAGATTCTTATTTTCATCTTTAACAAAAGTGTCTTTTTTTTTTTTTTTTTGTGGTTCGCGGGCCTCTCACTGTTGTGGCCTCTCCCGTTGTGGAGCACAGGCTCCAGACGCGCAGGCTCAGCGGCCATGGCTCACGGGCCTAGCTGCTCCGCGGCATATGGGATCTTCCTGGAACGGGGCACGAACCTGTGTCCCCTGCATCGGCAGGCGGACTCTCAACCACTGCGCCACTAGGGAAGCCCCAAAAGTGTCTTTTTACAAGCATCATAATTCATCTATTTTTGAAAGGAAGACAAGCCCAGTTGCAGCAACCAGATTTCTCTTTAGTGTCTGTAATAAACAGAAGGGTATGCTCCACAAGGGTAAAGACCTGATCTCAGGTCTTTTATCCTAGACCTTGCAAAATGCCCAGGATATAAATATTCATCAAATGAACATAAGACATGACTTGAAAATACTTTGTTTGTTATAGGAATTCAATGTCCTACTTCTGCATCTGACATTTAAAATATATGATAAAGCAGGTATCTAACTAAAAGCCCACATTGACCCCTCAAGTGTTCAACACTAAGAGAAGATAGAGTATCAGTGGCCTTTGTCTGTCACCATCTTCCCAAGAAGTGCATTCTCTTGCATCCAGAGAGACACACAATGACTTAAATACAGAGGTTAAAAACAAGTCAGGATTACAGAAAAGAGCCCCAAGAAAGTAAAATTTTCTCTGGGCACAACTCCTTGTGAAAACGCACAGCAAGGAATTGGCAAGCACGTAATCAAAAACCCCACCCTAGCATATTTAACACTGTGCATGTGTTTTTCTGTGATGGGTTCCTTCTCTCTGCATTAAACATCATGGTAGCTGCTGATCTGCTTTGACTGTTGTGTGAAAAGGTAAACAGGGTCAAAACTCAAAGAAACCAAGGGCAGTAAACTACCAACACATGCCATGATTGTTTTCCCGCACAAAATATTTGATTTGTGCTTTCCAAGTTGCAATGACCACAGACTAGTCTCCTATTTTGTGTTTTTATTATTCACTGAGCAAATATCTAGTGAGAACCTATTATAGTTTATCACTAGATATAGTAGTATTATAGTACGAAACACTATGCTAGATGCTAGGAACATATCAGTAAATAACATGGAATTATAAAGAACCAACTAAATTAAATGACTGCTACAAAGGAAACTATAGGATGTCTTGGAAATATTTAACAGAACTGGCATAGCTTGTGTTTGTGTGTATGTAAGTATGGTCAGGGAAAACATCTTTGAGCAAGTTCAAGGTGAGCTCTGAAGACCAACTATGGGTTAGTTCTACATTGCCCAATAAAGTAGCCACTGGCCACGTGTGAGAATTGAGCACTTGAAATGTGGCTAGTCTGAAATGAGATGCTCTGGAAGTGTGAAATACACTTTGAAGACTTAGTACAAAAAAAAAAAAGTAAAATATTTCACTTTAAAATGTTGATTACATGTTGAAATAAAAATATTTTGGATATAGTAGGGTAAATAAAATACAAATCATCTGTTTCTTTTAACTTTGTTAATATGAGTACTAGAAAACTTTAAATTACGTATGTGCTCACAATTGAGGCTTACATTTAGATTAGACAGTGCTGCATTAGACAAAGATAGGGGGAGAAGAGGTGAAGAACATTTCAGCAGAGGGAACAGGATATGTAAGGGCTCTAAACAAGAGCATGGACACTTGAAGAATGGAAAGAAAGTCAGAGGAACCACCAGAGTATGCAGGAGAGTGGCTCAAGATAAAGTTGAAGAGGCAGGTAAGTCATTTAAAAAATAAGTTATAATTTCAATTCGAGAAAGTTGCAATTTCTTTGCCCTATTCCTGATCTCAATAACAAACCATTTTAGTACCTGGATGAATAGTGACTGTCCCTGGTGTGATCAACATTCTTGCCCCTATTACTACCAGGATACTAAGTCCACTATGTGTTGACCACTATGTGTAATGAAATATGTGGAAATTTAAATTAAATTTCTTTAGAGCAATTAACTGCCTATTTAGATGTCGGCAGTGATGTCCCCTTAACTACACTTGGGCTAACACTGAAAATCCATACTCAGGCTTCTTTTCTTCATAAATCCCCAGCAAAAACTAGTTCTAACAGAACATTTTAGCTCAAAGTTATTTTTCTTTCTTTCACTATTTCTGCCTTTGAGTCTGGTTACAAGATGGGAAACAGAGAGGATATAATCAATAGTACCTCTGTGTCTACAATTCATTCTAAATGTGGCCTTGCCATCTTTAGATTGAGTAGATTTATTCTGAGAGAGGGGTATGCCTGCAGGACATCATAAAAAACTACTTTATTTCAAACATACCAATGGCCTAGATGCACAAGACCCCAAGTGCTCTGACTGTACTTTATATCTCCTTGGGAAGAAGAAAACTGGTCACATCAGGATGGCCGCAATCTCTGTAACCTTCTCAACTTCCTCCCATCCTCCTCCAATTACTTACAAAGATCCATAATGTGGTTCCGGCAGATGGCACAGTTATCAACCACAATATCCCAGGCCCAGAGGGCTACCGCATTCCACTGCAAAGAGAAAAAGGGGGAACAATGCACTCTACTCTCCTTGTAACACAAGCATAGACACACATAGAACACACACACACGACACTCTAGGATTTCATGCTGCAGTTATCATCTTTTCGGCCACAAGGACCACTAAACAAAAGAGCTTCTAGAGGTTCCATTACTCTTATTTATTACATCAGACAGCAAGAGTAGGCTACACGTACGCTCACCCATTCTCCAAACAGTTGAGTATATAAATACAGAAATGAATGTCATCTTTTTATTTTTTCCTACAGTTTAGTCAGCCATATCAATGCAAACAAATCAGGAATAATTTATAAGTGCCTGTTTCAGGTCTAATAATCACAAACTTGAATTACTGTGCAGGTTCTCCTGGCAGTTGCAGAAGAGCTCAATTTCTGCATAAACAAATATCTGCTCTTCAAGGCGACTTTGGAAGCAGGAATGGGGAGGTCGAAAACAAGGAACACAATGAACTAAGATGATGACTGGATCATAAAACGGGTAATCGTGGGATAAGCTGGATAACTAATTACGCAGTGTCAATACTCAGAACAAGGTCATCACTTAAATCTTACAAGATAACTGCACAACAAACTCTAAAATTCACTAGAATTTTGTTTAGTTCCTATCATCAAATAAACTGTTTTCAACTTTTACATGCTCAAACTGTTATATTCAGTTAAGATAATTTCCATAAGAGTTTATCTAAAAGTAGTATTTAAGTAACTCAACCCTCTCTGGCTTCTGCAATTATAAATATTCCCAAACTCCCTTTCATCCACGAATTTGGTGCTACTTCTCAAACCTTCATCTCTTTCAAGCCTAATTCTCAGTGTCTAGTAACTTCTTCAGCACTTTTCACCCTACAGCTTCAACTTGCAGGAAAAAAATCCTACTTCTATTCTTCAACATGGCTGCTGGCTGTAACTGAGCATGCAGGGCCCACAATGAAACGCCAAAAAGCACTAGGAGGGGGAATATTGTCAGGGTTTAGCCAGATGTTCCAGGAATAACATCTTCCCTATTTCAGGTCTTCATTTTGTACAGATGTTTTATCTTGGGTGGGAATCGACACTTTTCTCCCCAACTGCTGGCAAACAACTATAAGGCATTTCACGCAAAAAGACACGTCCCACATTTCTGCTTTCCCACTTTTACCAGGTCGTTCGCAACTAGTACTCAACCCTCCCTAAATGACACAAGATTTGGGCTCGCATTTTCTTTTTAACGAATTCCACCATGTTTCTTTTTTTTTTTTGGACAGCGGGATTCTGAATATGACCACAGGACTGGGGCAGCTGTGTGACAAACCAACAGACCTCTCAGAAGAACCAAGAGTTACACTCGAGACACTTTAACTCGGCAGGGGCGAGGACCAGAGAGGGCTAATGGAGGCCTCGATTAGGCGAGGACCGGGTCGGGGTCCCTCAGAGGGACCCCAAGCTTCGGACAGGGGCGGGGCACGGAGATAGCCAGCCCGGGTCCTCAGAGGCCTCCAAAGCGGTAGGACCTCAGCTTCCCGGCTTTCGCCACACCGCCCCATCCTCCATCCACCGCAGCACTCCGACTCCCCCTTCCTCCCACCCCACCCTCTCCTTCCCCACCCCTCCACCACTCCAGTGACAGCTCAGGCGCTTGGCTCCTGCAGCCAAGTCGCAATCCCGCGTATCTCAATAAGCACCTCCGTGATTGGCCCCTCAGCTTCCTAACGAAACCAATACTGCCACTGACAGTGGGCGGCAGTCACGCCGATCAACCCTAAAACCCGCCCACCGGCTTCCTTTCGTGGTACCCTGTCCCAGGAACGCCCTGAAGCGAAGCCCTTTCCTCCGCGCCTTGGCCATCCTCGGGCCTGCCAGCCAGATCCACGCCTCTCTAGCTTCCCTGAGGAAGGCGCTGGCGAGACCCAACCTTTTTTACTTCAAAGCGCTTCTTGCCCGCGCCGCTGTTCGTGCCGCTCGGGGTATCCACATCCATCGCTGCCGCCATTTTGGAAACACACGCTCCGTCGCCCGGCTACTGCGCCTGCGCGTCAGCGCAAGCCTCGCTCCCCCTCCCGTCCCGGCACCTCCTCCCGCGCCCCACCCCTCACTGGCGCGCGAGGGGCAGGTGGGGGTGGAGCATGTGGCCACGCCTCTTAAAGGCGCTGGCGCTGTCCTCCCCCACCCCCCACCTACCCAGCGTTGGCGGAGAGGAGGCGGTGGCCCGAGCGTCTGGGGCGGGGCCGGGCGGGGCAGGGCCGAAGTGAGCGAGCCGGGTGGAAACGTTCGAAAGGGCTCGTTCTCGTCGCCCTCCCCCGGGAAGACCCCGGACACAGTCCCTCAGCTGGGGCGGCGGCTGCTTCCTCCGCTTGGGCCGCGACCTGCAGCACCGGCCGCGCCTCGCCTTCCCCGGCGCCGCGGAGCTCCCCGGCTCGCTGGTCCTCGTCGCGTTCTTCTGGGGAAGGGGCGAGGGTGGGCGTCCCGCCTCCCGCTGCCGAAACCCGAGACCTCACACTGGTCCTTCCAGATCCTGACTCGCTTACGAGACCGGCCTGAGTTGCTACCCTCCCTGGGAGGCCTGAAGCACCGTTTGGTTTCCTAATTCCAATTCGGGAAATACTCAGGATTAGATGGGGAGACTGGAGCCCCCCGCCTCCGTGTCCTCCGCAGGATCAAATTGAGCAGGCATTATGTAGCCCTGCCTTCACCTGCCCACCTGAAATAGGTGGAGGGAGGAGGCTTAGGAGACTGGGAGATGACAGCCACAGCCCACCCAAAATACCAGTCCAAATCGGAATGGCCTTTGGTTAAAGAACACGATTTACATTTAACTCACTTGAGCATACACTTCCTTCCCATTCCTCAATTGGTCATCGGACTATGGGGTCCTTTCTCCTTAATTTCGGTCCTCTTTCCTCTCTTTGAGCCATGATCACATCTGCAGTCACTGTACTTCTTGAAGTGTTTGTGTGAGGCATTTGCCACTTATTCTTACTGGTCATTCCTTCCCAGCCAAAGCACCTGAACTTTATGTCACCCTTCCTTTTCTAGACCAGCACCTCCCCCCCTTTTCATCTCTAGTCTTGCAGAGGTATGACTCTGCTAGGTAACTCTTAAATCTTGTATTAGCTTGTTTGAAATCTCATATTTTCTATTAAAAGAGAATTGAAGAGTGATTGATTGTGTTGACTCCATTGTTAAACCAGAAGAAGTAGGATTTGTTTCCTTGTCTTAATCATAAACAAGAACAACGAATCTGTGAAAACACCACCACAGCTTTAACTAGACTAGAATAGAGAATAATTGTGTGAGACCTTAAAGCATTATAGGAACCTTACAAAGTTTTTCTAAGCCCAAGTTTTGTTAAATTAATGCTTCCACGTTAAGAGTTCTGTCATTTATTGTGTTCCTGCAGGAATACCCGAAACGCATAGTAAACTAAGGTATTGAGTGCATATTTATCCTTCATTCAACAAATTCACTGAGTATGTACCAGGTCCTGTTATAAACAGGAGAGACTGTGATGAAGGTGTCTAACTCCTGGTAGGGAGATAATACACAAGTCAACAAATAAACACCAGAAAATCTCAGATATCAATAAGTGGAAACAAGGTCATGAGACTGAAGGGAGATGGAAGCAGTATTAAATTCGGTGATCAAATAAGTCCCCTATGAGGAGTAACATTACAGCTGAAGTCCTTCCAAGGGCTTAAAAGGCCCTGTATGATATGCTTCCCATTCATTGTATTGTGCTTTTCTTCTTTTCTTTAATGGTACATGTACCTTCTAACATATTTTTTCACTTACTCATTAGATTTATTGTTTTTTGTGTGTCCCACCAAGAGGAATTTTTTTATTGTTTTCTTTATTGGCAACAAATACTCCTAGAACAGTGCTCGGTAAGTTGTAGGTGCTCAGTATGTGTTGAATGAATAAACTTGAAGCTTATTGAGCAAGGGGAGTGTGGTAAGAGAGGTTGGACAGGCAGGCAGGGGCCAGATCAGGTAGAGATTTTATTGAAGATGTTATGGGAGAATATTGGAGGGATAAAGTAGGGGAGGGGACTAACAGTGACATAATCTTATTTAAGTTTTTTAAAGTTTTTAAGCTTTGTAGGAAGAAGGTATGGTAGTAAACCATACCTTGCAAACAAGTAAACTTGTAAACAACAATTTACAAGTTGTTTGCCTTGTAAAGAGCTACAGTGGGGCAGTTCCATTAAGCTATGAAAACCTCATGTACTGATCTCTCCTTTGGAGATTTACCTTGCTGTGATGATTGGCCACCGCGTTCTGTATACTAGATCCTGCTGCATAAACCTAAGAAAACTTTTTGTAGACCCCGTACAGATTCCTATCCTTCAAAATTTTACTGAGTTTACAATGCCATAGGTTGTAATTTTACTTTAGTTCTATTCAGTTCATCCAGCCAGCCATTCTTTCATTCAACAAATATTTTTTATTTAAAACTTTTCCCCTCCCCGACAATGGTAGGTCAGAAGCACAGGTAACAACCTGGACTTTTAAATATTTTTTAATATTTGGCCGTGTTGGGTCTTTGTTGCTGCGTACGGACTTTCTCTAGTTGCGGTGAGCGGGGCTACTCTTCATTGCGGTGTGCGGGCTTCTCATGGCGGTGGCTTCCCTTGTTGCGGAGCACGGGCTCTAGGCGCGTGGGCTCAGTAGTTGTGGCTCATGGCTCTAGAACTCAGCCCCAGTAGCTGTGGCGCACGGGCTTAGTTGCTCTGTGGCATGTGGGATCTTCCCAGACCAAGGCTCGAACCCATGTCCTCTGCATTGGCAGGCGGATTCTTAACAACTGCACCACCAAGGAAGCCCCTCAACAAATATTTCTAAAACATCTACAGAACCTGCTGTGTGTTAATTATACCGTGCTGATCTGGATGAAAAGACATCTGACATTTTAAGTACTTGCAAAAGTCCCCTTTAATCATTGAACTTATGATGTGTAACAGGAGAGGCAATAGTCAGTTCATGATAATTCCAATGAATTTTAGGAAAGGGGAAGTACAGGGTGCCTTGAAGCAGAAGGACAGTCTGGAGGGTGGGGGAAGCCCTCTTAGAGGAAATGTTTTGAGATTGAAGGATGAACCAGACAAAGAGGAGTGGATGCAGTGGTATGCGGGTAAATGTTAAAAAAAAACCCCCAGCTCTTAAAAAAGGAAAGGGGGAAAAAAAAAAAGCCCTGATTTGTAGCTTTAGCAGCCAGATTGCAAAATTCCTGAAAATTTAACAATTGCTTCCGTAAGCTGATGCAAGCTGGCTCCAGCACTCACACATACTGAGGGATATGGAAGAAGGTGGCATTCCAGGTTGAGCCAACAGTGTACAGAAGGAGCTGGAAGCTGGAGAATGCATAGTGCACTCATAAAGAAGCCTGGAATGGCTGCAGTATGAAGAGAATGAGGGTAATATAAAATGTCTGCAAAGATGTGCAAGAATCAATTGTTAGTCTCTCTTCCCAATTCTATATTTAGCAATGTCATGTTGTTAGCTTGAAATTGGCCATAATCGAGTATTTACACTGTGGAAATCAGCCAACACTACAAACCAGGGGTCCCCTTACCCTCCTAGAGTCAGTTGTTAAACATTTACTGCTGGTATGGGCCAGGTCTTGCAAGAATGTTCAGTAGAGCCATGCAAAGAGTTTTGGTCTTTATCCTCAGTGATGAGAAGCCATTGAAGGATTTTAACCGGTCAGCCACATGGTCAGATATGCCTTTTTCAAAAGTGCTCGGCAGGACTTCCGCTTCTGGGAAGATGGAGTAGGCATACTTTTTCCTATTCTTCTAAGTACAACTAAAATCCCTGGATAAGATATATATTTTTTAAAACGTAAGACTCTGAAAGATGGAGAGAAGAGGGCAGACCTGTTAGGGACCTCAGGACTTGAGGAATGACATGGTAGTGAGTTCTCTAGGTTTTCTTTTTACCTCCTATATCCCTGTCTTGGAACTGAAGAAGCCAGCAACCTGGAAATGCCAGTGAGTGCAGATAAAACAACAGCAACAGGTTGCTTTCTCTAGCAGACAGAAGAGTTTTAGACAATAACTTCTCTACTCCATTCAAATTACACAGAAAAAAAGAAAAGTGGTCCCACTCCAACCCAAGTGGGGAGCTTAGACTGTACAGTTCACAAGTCTGTAACCAGGTGGTATAGGCCAATTAGGGAGTTGGAACTTTCCAGGTGTTAACGAGCTCCCCTACCCCTGTGGTGTAACAGGGGACCATGAAGGGGTATGGACTTCCACTCCCACTCAGCAGTAATGAGGCACCCCTTCCCTTCCCTGCTGGAGTGGTATTGGAGGAGGCCTAGTGGAGAGTTAGGACTTTCACCATCACCCAGCAATAATGAGCCCCCCAACCGCCACTGCAGTGTCAGTAGAGACCATGTAGGGAGATGGAACTCCCACCCCTGCCCAGCAGTAATGAGGAGCACCCTCACCTTTGGGTGTTAATGGAGACTAACTGGGGAATCTGGACTTCTACATCTACCCTCCCTTGCAGGAGCAGTGTCAAAAAAAGGAAGGTTTAGATAAGATCCAGAGTCTCATAAAATAATATTAAGATGTCCAATTTCGGTTGAAAATCCCTCAACTTACCAAGAGCTGTGAGATCTAAAAATGAATGAAAAAAGACTATGTATCAATAGATGCCAACACCAAGATGACGGATGTTAGAATTATCTGACAAAGATTTCAAACCAGCAATGATAAAAATTTTTCAACAAGCAATTACACACAAGCTTAAAACAAATCTCAGGAAATAAATAGAAGAGATAAAGAAGACCCAAATGGAAATTACAGAACAGAAAACTTCTATAACTGAAATATCTCAGTGGATAGGCTCAACAGCAGAATGGAAGTGACAGAGAAGAAAAAAAAAAAGTCACTGAGATGGAAGATAGAACAATAGAAACTACTCAATCTGGACAAGAGTGAGAAAATAGACTGAAAAAACAAAACCAAAAACCTCCAGAGTGAAAATAACAAAAGATCTAACATTTGTGTCATCAAGAGTCCCAGAA